GTCGTTAAATAAGTCATAAATAAATACATTGGACAAACAAACAGCGAAGTGCGCCCCCGTTCAGCGGTTTTCTTTAGGGCAGTTTGTTTTGCTGTACGGTACATGTTGCATGTTTCTTTGGTTTATTAAACAGCGCTGTATCAAGTACATGTAACACTGAATAACACGATGGTAGTGAACGGTAAAAAGGTTAAGACGTAGACGCTCCTCGGGGATCGGGGATTTTAGGCGCTGTCTTCATCGTGTGATCACGTCCGATAATAAGGAACAACAGAAGAAAATGTCTCCTTGAAGCCACTGGAAACGGGGATGTCCCAAACACGAAAAGGGACTCTCTGTGTTGGAGAAGCATCTTTTAACATGAGAGCCTCCACGATCGATCGATTTATTTTTGTTATCACTGGCCAATTCGTTGAGCTTAATGGGCAGAGGATTACAATCGTATGCAATGAACGTTTTAGGATTAAACGGGGAAAAATTCTTTGTATCATTCCATTACGCACAATTCATAGCTCCGCCCGTTGCGTACGTGTGCGTTTGAAGATGACGTAACTCGTCTATTCATTAGCACAAGGAAAGGAATTTAAATGTTGTATACACACGCACAGAAAGGGAATTTGTGTCTCAACAACTGGCAGTACACCCTACTTATTAGCTGTCTAATATGGCGCGGTATAAATTTAATTAAGTTTTTATGCTCTTTTTTTAGAAGTTGTGCCCCTTTTTTGCGTCAACTAAGATTTCCTGATCTTATTGCAACACCGCACGAAAGGCTGCGTCCTCATGTCTGTCGTCCGAATGACGTGGGTTAGCAACAGCAAGTCCAGATATTACAGAGATGAAAAATCTGTAGCAAAAATCAGGAAATCATTTTCCCAGATATAATGCAGGCCTGCGGGCTTTGAATGTAACAAACAAACGCTAAACTTCATTTTGAAAATGCGAGTGTTGTGTACTCCGTACGACAATTACTCCTGTTTTCCCCCCTGCCCGCAGCGCAAACACGATTATTAACATTGGATGGGCCACACCCGATAAACACGCTCCAGCCTCCGACCAGGATGAATAACAATCAATCAATCAAATAAGCAAATTGTTTCAGCTCCTGAACGCCTGGCTACCCACCTGACAGCCGCGTAATGTTGGATTCCAGTATCAGGCGAACGGATATAACGAGGCGTTGTGATTTCTTCCTACTTTCTTTGAACCCAAGGTACGTTATTATATTTATAACATACTGAGGGGTGAAATTTCTATGAAATAAAACAAATAATTATTCTACACTGAACTAAGAACTAAAAATTAAATAGGTACGCGACGGCTATTAAATGAATGAAAATCAAAAATCTTTTGAACAAATCGGAACGTCAGATGGGCCACTTCGTTCGGAAGAAATTTTTAAAAATATTGATGTACCCTACGTGTCGTTCTTGCAGGCAGAGAGCAAGTACCCGTGTGTGTGGCCGAACGTAAATTATTTTTCCTAGTGCATGAGATGAGAATTGCGTACAAAATTTTGGTTGGAAATTTCGAAGCGGAGAAACCACTTGGAAGACCTAAGCACCGGATTCCACGAAAGACAGAGCGACTATCAGCGCCTCGTGATGGGCTCAGCACCACACACTTAGTGATGATGTTTCAGTAATGCGTCAAAAGAAGTTATTTTCGTGTTACGTGGCCCCTTTATGCGCGTACTGTGCTCAGAGTAAAGTACTATTTCCTCCTCTAGCAGCGTTATGAAACTCAGATTAATCTTCGATGTTTATCGTGAAATTTTCCACACATCTTTACAGATCTCTTTCCACAGCTCTGATTATCTCTCTCAGGCCTTGGAACAGCAGCTGTCAGTAAAAACGTTACGTTGTCAGACTAGACTACATTTTTATGCGGAGTTATACTACGTTAAACAGGAAGGACAACTCAGTTTTTATAAGATAAAATCTTCTAAATGATGACAAAATATTAAAATAAATCTATAAATTGCAAAACACACACACACAAACGCGATGGTAAACAAGACACGAACAGTTCATAAAACTCTGATGTTCGTTATCTGGAAAAGGAGAACTTGGATGGAAAGACACACAGCCAAAAAAGAAGCCGACCTTCCTCTCCAGAAAGTTCTTTCCGAGGCTTGTTGACCTCCTGGGACCTCGCGGCTGTCTCTGGCTGTTTGCTTCTGTGTGTTAAGTTTCTTAAGTCTGCCGAAATCGATGAATCGACCTTGCGGGAATTGGACGACGGTTTCCCGAAAAGGCGAAGGAGCGGAGAACGCTGATATCCGTCCTAGGTACAGAACTTTCGTTTCAGGAAGACGACAGCGCTCTCAGACTGTGCGCCGTGCAGTGTCGTAGAAGTTGACCGACGTTTCAGAGGTGCCTACTGCCTGATAATGGTGTTCTCGATGGTGATACCGACTTCATCACAAAGAAAAATAGCAAGAAACACACACGTACAGACTACAACACGGACATGCGTCTGTCAAGTAGGGGTTAGTTCACGTTCAGCACAATTGGATTTGCTAGATGTTTTGATAAGTGCAAACAAGTGCGTGTATTAATTTGGCTGAAACTGAAATTTAACTTTTAAATTTGAAATGACATTATAATTTCCAAGGATAGTAATTAATTAATCATGCGAGGACACACCACGAAATACGAATGTTATGAAATGCCTATGTATCGAATTGTAAAAACCCGTTTGTGTTCTTTATTTCTTAGTGTAAATAACCGCAGGTGGCCTTCTCGAGAGCAAGATCTAGGTCACAAGTAACGAAAAGCAATGACACTGTCACCATAGGCATTACTTACAATTTTTTCTTAAATGGGCTTATGTTTAAAAAAATACAGTAGCCTATCATAACATTTTCACTTCGGAGAAACAGAATAGAAAAAGTAATGGATTGAAAGTACGCCCGGGGAACTTAGAATCCGAGTAGTTAGACGGAACAGCTTGAATTTTGGGGAACAAGTATTCGATTCGTGAGGACGACGGGGTGGTATTAATTCAGACGTACCTGCCGGTTCGTACCTGGTTATGCACTAGCTCAGGGCAGGCCAGAGTGACAGGACGACCAAGTCGGCGCCCCATCGCCTCTTTGAGTGCCTGGGCACAGCCCTGACCTCACGTCTCAATAATTGTCACACACACACCCCTAACAGCAAAACGTATTCCGTCGTGCTATACTGGGAACGAGCCTTCAGTCGTTCTTACCCGGTGTCCTACGTGAGCGATTAAATGCGAGCGGTGCGAGTTGCGTGGGTCTAGACGAAATATCAAAAAAACTGGCTCTTTGTGTGGCGCTGTCCTAGGTTACAGCCAAGCGGTCGGCGTCCAAAGTCCGAGATCAAATATTTTGATATTTTCGCGTGAGTCGCTGCCGGGTACACGCGAGATGGAAAATGCCGCGCGTGCTCGGAGCGCGGAAACCCGTGACAGTGCACACCGAAAACCTCTCACCAGTACTAGATTGGATGGCAACCAAAATGGATGTGTACAGAAGAAAACGTGTGGTGTTGGCCTATTTCGTTTATGAATACATCGTTAAAGAACGCAATAGGAAGTATTGGACACACCCGTTGGTTAGTTCACGGCTGTTAAAAGGGGCGTTCGTGACAGATTTAAGAGAAGATGAAAGTAAATTTCATAATTATTTTCGTATGAGCTAGCAGCAAAACTGGATGCATCCATGACTGGAAGGCGGTAGCTGTTGCGAGGGTTGCGAACCACGCGTGCACTGCCCTATGCTCTCACACAGACTGCTGCTTCGCGGGGATCGGCGAGCGCGGATATCTCGTGGCGTCACCGCCAAAGTTTGAGTGACACCATTGCCTCACATGACGCACGCCGAGATAACCCGCTCGTGTGCATCGGGCCTTAGGTGATTAATACGCTGAGGTCACCTTCAATGCCTAACAGACTGAAAAACTGCCAGGGTCGCGTTATCATGTACTAAAAGTAACTTATCCTATGGGCTCTACGACATTCGGCTTTGTGAAGTGACTGAACGAAGTTCTGCTTTGCTCCAGATAAGATACTTCGCTGACGGCTGCTGCAGAGGCAGAATGAAGGGCGTAGATCTGCTCGCGCTTCTGCAGAGAATCCAGGGGAAATATCGTCAGATTTCCGCTGCTCTTGCAGGTAGGAACTCGGCTGATTTTAACTTGCGAAGTGTCGGCACTACGTTGTTACCAGAGATAAAGAGAACAGCTTTCATTTTTTGAAATTTATGTAAACTGTGAAAACAAACGAATGTCTGTTTGTATTAACCACGTGAACGTGCAGACATTACGAGGGGGGGGGCGAGCAGGTAATCTACAAAATTTCACTTTATTTCCCAATCGTATTATCAAGGTACATGCACGCTGCAGTTTATCATAATTAACGAAATTCGCTGTAATTCGCAACCAAATAACTTCTGGAACATACTGTAGGCGATGAGGCACCCATCACTTCATAAGCGTTCACACAAATGGCACAGCAATGCTGAACCACACCATGAGATTTATGGAAATTTTAATAGACTAAACTGTAAAAAGGACTTGTTTTTTGAGTTGACTTATCGGAGAGACGGGGATTGTTAGTAAGCACACAAAACATACGAATAAGGCACACTACCACATTCGTGGGAAGACAGTGTCATTTATGTGAAATCAGGTGGGAAATTTAAGAATAGAAAATTAAAATGAAAAGTAAAATTCGAAAAATTTTCTTCAAAATTAATATAACGTAATTTTTGCGAGAGTCTCTCACAGCTCCTGAACTCAAGGCGAGGGTTTATGGAACGCGGCAAACAAATCACAGCCCAAGTCCCACATACTAAGTATAAGTACCGTTCTGTGCATAGAAGCTGTCATTAACTTCCGGTACTCCGCGGACATTCACCGAAATTGGAATTACGTGTCGTAAATAATTAAGATAATCGTAATTCAGATATCAGCTAAAGGAAAGCGAAGGTAGGCATTAAGAGTTACTGTCAGAATTTCTACATTTTTATATCCCGATTATAAATAATGTTTTCAAAATATTTAAGAAAATCAAATCCCTTATTTTAAGTTCTGTCCCACTCAATTTTTCTCACCTCCCTCTGCCTCTGTTGACCTCCGTCCTCTCTCGTCTGTCCCTTATGTTGATAGAATTGAGGTCCGTTTCCAATATGTAACCAAGGCCTGCTCCATCGCAAGGATAACACAGAAAACCGTGCTCAGTTCCACGCACTGAACGGGATTCTAACCCGCGACCTCAGTTTACAAGCGATGGCGTTTGAAACAGAACGTCAACTGTGTGAAATGACTTCGTTTGTCCTTTCTGCGCTGTTGTTGGGCTAAAGTATCGTTTCCTGACATGTTTCAGCGAACCTGATCACTCTTGCCTACGGCGTCGTACCCGGATGGTTGTCGCCCACACTTCCGCTGCTCCGGTCGACGGAGACCACGCTCGGCGACGTCGTGACACAGGAACAAGAGTCCTGGCTGGCTTCCCTTCCTTTCCTCGCCGCCTTCCTCTTTTCGCCCGCGTACAGTTACATAAACCAGAGACTGGGACGGAAAGCGGCCGGGTACCTGAGCGCCGCGCCAGCCATCGTCGGATATCTGCTCGTCGTCTTCGGCGACTCAACGACGCACTTGCTCATTTCAAGATTCGTTCTGGGCCTGTGCATTGCCGGCGTCAACGTCTTCGTAACGATGTACGTGAGCGAGATATCTGAGGACAGCGTCCGGGGTGCTCTCGGGAACTTCCGCGGGGTGGCGGCAGGCATCGGCACCATCTGCGTGTACGCCGTGGGCTCCCACCTCTCGATCCAGCACACCGCAGTCGTGTGTGTGTCCTTCCCCATTCTGTTCTTGTTCGCGTACGCCTGGTGCCCAGAGTCACCCATGTTCCTGCTGGGAAAAGGGAGGAGGCAGGAAGCGTTCGACGCGTACGTGCGTCTCCGAGGCGACCCCAGTCTCGCCGAAGAAGCGATGAGGAAGCTGGAGGCAGTTGTACACACAAATGAAACGCACGACCACAACGGGTCTGTGTTAGGCCTGCTGTCTGTTCGCGGCACCAGGAGGGCACTCCTGATAGCACTGACGCTTTCAGTGGCTCAGCAGTTCTCTGGCATGAACGTCATGTATGGTTACTGTGCGTCAATATTTGAGATATCGAGAACTAATATCTCGCCACAAACATCGTCCATTATATTCGGGTTCGTGAATTTGTCAGGTTCGCTGTTCTCGTGCTTTTCCTCAGATCTCGCGGGTCGACGACCGATTCTCATCTGCACCCAGATCGTCCAAGGGGTCTGTCTTCTCGGACTGGGCACATACCTGTACTTGGATCGATTCGGTTTCGACGTTTCTGCGCTGGGAGTGATTCCCATCGCATGCGTCTCGCTTTATAGCTTCTGCGTTATCGCCGGTCCAGCTGATTTGCTGTTCGTGGTAATGGCCGAGACGTTCAGACCCGAAGCCCGAGGTTTAGCCACAAGCGTCACGAACTGCACGCTTTGGATGCTAGCCTTTCTGTCAACCAAGTTCTTCAACGTTCTAGTCGACCTGCTGGAAGTCTACGGTTGCTTCTGGTTGTTCGCTGCGGTTTCTTATGCCGGGGCTTTGCTCACTTTCTTTCAGCTGCCAGAGACGAAAAACCGCAGTCTCGAATCTATTCTGCGGGAGCTGAACGGGGACCCTCCCGCTGAAGTGGAGAAGCCGCATTTGGAAGATTGGCGCTCCGACGAATTCGCCTCAAAGACAAGGACGTCTGCCGGCTGATGCCACTCCACTACTCACGTGTTTAAAGAACAGAACCGTCTCGTCTGCAAGGCATTTTCGGTGTCACACGTGTCTCGAGTCAAAAGAATTGTTCTAATTTCCTTAAAAGTATTTTTGGCGCAAGAAGACAAAATTTGCCTGCGCATTACGTTGCCGGTTTCGGCGTCGAATTTTGCGGTTCTCGAGGGTAATAATAATAATAATAATAATGTGATAAACCACTTATCTGCCCATAAACCACGGTCAAGCCTCTACATTCGGGCTCATTACTCAGAACACTGAGGAAGATAATTCGAAATTAATTATGTGCTACGTCACAGATAATAAAGCAGGCTGAGATATCGTGTGCGTTGAACTGAAATCGCTGCGGGGAAAAAAACTGGCAACTGCGATAAATTTCCGGTTTCGTATCAACGGGAAATACTTCGGACAGTTGAATATCTACGGCGTGCGGGGGTTAACGAGCCGCCACTGCCACGAATATACGAATCCTTGCATCGGTCAACGGCTTCGTGGTCTGTAAATGTCTGAGGTAGAACCAGCTTGACTGCGTTTCTTTGTGCTACGTCGTGGCCAACTCTAAATTAAATTTTCGGGTTAGGCGCACAGATCGGGTCAGTCGAGAATGACACAAGTTGACCCCGACATCAGATAAGCAGGGCGGCACGATCGAAGGGAAGAATCGGGTACTCCAGTACCCGGGTGAAGCGACGGGATTTGGTTCTTACATCCACAAAACGAGCTTTAAAATGCTCGGAATCCGCACAAGAAACCTGCGCTCCAAAGTAATTACAAGGAATTTTCTGAACATCTCACGACTTCCGACTCATTTGAGTGGAATTTATTAATTAAGTGAAGTGGTGCATGGGCCACGTCGTGTCTGCTAGTCGACCTGAACATTGTTCTTCCCCTGTCATTCGATTCTGACAAGAACCCGAAACCGGTGCTGTTCACATGTTCACACACATTTAAATCCTGCTGCCTCGACATTTGATTTAAGTTAAAAAAAATTGATTTCGTACTGAGCATCCAAACACGCATTCAATTATTGAATTTCAAACACTGGTCATGATGGTCACATTCAATATTCGATACGTCTGTAACAACAATCTGATTATCAAATCTAAACCTTCTTGACGATGGTCAATTGAATAAAAATTTTCTTGGATAGTATCCATCGTCTAATAAATATAAAACGTAAAACGACGTTTCGGAGATGGGACTCTATCTCCGTCTTCAGGTTCCTACACAGTTGGCCCCACTAGATAGAGCTAATCCCGATCTATATTTATTAGACGATGGATACTATCCAAGAAAATTTTTATTCAATTGAACAATCTGATTCTTTGCCTCTTACATGTTTCGGCATCTTTGGGTCATCTTCATGCGAATCATATATTAAGTTAGTTTATAATAGGCCATCTGCTTCATTTACTAAATTAAGCATCATACTTATTAGTATAAACGTTGTACATGTGTGTAAAATATAAATATCCATCCTTATTTTACCTTTAAGTTTGTAACTTTATTAATTAATTAAATTTATGTCGTTTGTAAAATTCTAATATTAATATTATATGAATTTTGTTGCACCTCGCACTATAAATTTATTTATTAGGTTCCAGCACCTGCGGACAAACCCTTCAGAAGGCACCTGTGCCTGTTTTCGTTAAGAAAGATCAGTGTTTCAACAAAACTAATACTTCTGAAAGGGCAGGATTTTAAAATCCGCGCAATTCAACTATACACGAAAACGCTCATCTTAATTATATTAAACTTATACGGAGCTCCTCCAGGAGATTTTAATAAATTTCTATGAGGATTAGATGCTACATCGAAGTAGCTGTATGCTCTAAAATCTGAATTCTTAATTTGTGGCGACATAAATGCAGACTATCTTAATTAAAGATACCTGAAAAATCTCATTATTAACAACACATAATTTGACACAGACAGTAGATTTTGCAACAATAATTCAAAATGATTTGAGTGCAGCAATTAATAATATTTTTTGTAGATAGTTTAATATTAAGCTCATCTACTACAACTGCCATAATAAATGGCCTATCAGACAACGATGCCCAGCTTCTTATGATTAATAATAATTCTGCACCAGGTAACTTAGAGCACAAGAAAAATAAGTAATGAAACAATCCTGCAGTCTCGACTTCTTCTAATGAGTGACACGTGGTAATCTGTTTATGAACACAGCAGCAAAACTTCGAATGATTTCTGTTCAATTCTTTACTGGCCTATACTGGGACGTGCACGCTTGCAGAGTGAAACACATAATCGCCAGTCGGACGATTAGCACGTCTCCTGTTGATTGTAAGAGCACGTAAAACAGTCCAGCACGTGCCATGAAGTCTTACGGGAGCAACCTCGAATCCAGATTTGCCTCGAAAATGCCCCCATAAAAGTTAACGTGAAACAAGCGAAGACTGGAGATACTTTTCGTAGCTCGTTTTATGAGTTTGTGTGTGTACTGCATCGACTACCGGTTGTGGTAATTTAGTTCCAATAGTTGCTGCTCTGACAGTTATCGGGTGTGGCGCCGTAGGTAATGATCATGAATAATTGCCTAGCCACATTTTTTTCTTTTACAATTTAAGCTTTGAAATAAGAGATCGCTAATTCACTTAAACGGCTGAGTTAGAGTCCATCGTGTCCAGTTCAAGACACAGGGTGCTTTACACTTCCTTGGATAAGCCCCAGTTTCCTTCAAGCCTTGGCCGGAAGGCCTGATATGGCTGTATGACCGGGGTTCGATTCCCATCAGGAATTATTGTTTCTCACTGAACGTAGAAGTCAGCCCTGGCCGACGCTTTCCTGACAAGTCCCTTACCCACAAGAAGGGCCTCATTTAAAACCTACCATAGCTGTAAGTTTGTTTAACGACGCAGTATGAACTGGACAGGGCCGAATGAAACATGAGACCAAGTTTTCAGTTGTACGTCATGTCCGGAAAACCCGCCGTGGCCTATTTCAGGTATCATCCCAGTGTTCGTATGGAGCGTCTGAGAAAAATGTCGAAAGAGACCGGGACTGATCGAGATCATTGAAGAAGCAGAATAACTCAGCGAGTTTCATGTGGCGAATATAAATTCGAAGATGGGAGACTAAAGGGCAGACGAGAGATGGAACGAAGTGGGGAGAGAGGCCGAGGGATAAAGGAAGAAGTGCGCGAAGAATGGAGAAAGAACGTTGAAATGGACCGGCAGCAAAATGGATGTTATTCAGTACTCACGGCGTCTAATAACTGGAAATGAATTGCAAATACGTCGTCGCATCACAGCCAAAAGATTTTCTGCAAAAAAGCAATCTGACCGATCGTTCGTTGGGTCAGGATGAGACCCGTCTGTCCCCCAATATCAAATTTCGTGGAATTCCGTCCGTTCTGTAGCAGTTACGTACGCAGAGACGGAGGGGAGGCGTCTTAAAAATAAATAATAGCAGAAAGAACCCCTTCGGCGACGCCGATGGGGCAAGCCCTCACACTGCGCACTGTGCAGACAGCCTTGGCGACGTAAAACTCATTTTTAATATCTTTCTTATCCAGAAGGTACACGAATTATGGGCCTCGACGAACTACACGGACTTTCTGCTAGAAAAGGAACACCACGAAAAATTTTTCTGACGGCGGGCGGTTCAGGCCGTGGTTCGAACCGACGCCCTCTCGAATTACTGCGGTTGAGCCGCCATGTTGGCCATCGCGTCGGTGAGCGTATGGAGGTCGTCAGAGTACTGCAGGGTCACGCGGGTGGCCGAATCAAGGAGCACGAACTGTGAAAAGGGCACGCGGAAACAAGAAACGCATGCAGAGTGTTGGTTGTCACAAGTACGAAACGGACGTTAAAGCAATTTGTGAGCTGGTTTAAGCAGCACTGTCTTAACTAGCGATGGCACCGAAGGCTAAGGCATCTTATTGATTCAGAAGACGACTGAAACGGGACGCGGAGGAGGATGCAGAAGAAGAAGAGATGTTTTGCGAACCCTTGACCTCTACAATCCTGTAACCATATACATCCGCCATGTTTTACATCGCATTATTATTCCATGTACGATGCACGGTAAAGACGTAAAGCGGCCTTTTAAAAGGGAGGCAGTTCGTTTGAATAATGTACAAGCGAACTCGTACAGAATGCAGCTACTGGAAGGCAGGAGAGACCCAGCCAGTAACCAGGAGACGAGTAGATCCTCTAAGGGAGGAGAGAGAGAGACTCGTGGGCTCAGCTGCGTTAACCACAACTTCCCATTTTCAGAACCGTTAATGCAGCAGAACACAAAAAACCCCAAGTGCCCCGAAGGATCACGCGTGTTTTTTCAGGGTCCCCCGTGGTTGAGGACATGACGATTTTGACTCATTCTGTGCTAAATACGCAACCCATATCTTCATATACTTTGGTCCAATGCTCGTAAATGTATATCCTCCTTTTTTAAATACAATAAACACTTGATTCAGTGCCTCAAACTAACGAATGTCTTCAAAACTGACGTCACATTTGCAGCTGGTATCCTCGCCCCAGCCGTCAAACTATGCCAATGGATTTCTCGATCGCTACTTGTGAATCAACCTGTACCACGGGCGTTGATTTTCAATTGGACTTGCTTGTACTTATATGTATAACTGAAATATATACACACAAATTTCCCATCCGCGCAGAGATTTAAATGAACGGCGCAGAAGACAGGTTATTTGATCGGAGGATCGTGACAAATTTATTGCTCGTGATATACGACGAGACGCAACTGCACGTGGACTGCCCTGAATCGCAGATGCGTCTGCGCTCGCGCGTAGAAAAGGCACGTCAAATTATGCGTGCACCTGCTGGAAAGAACACGTGTTCGCTCAGATAAAGACGCACCAAAGAGGACCTTTTGTCTTCGCGTTCGTTCCCACCTGTTCGAGGCAGTGGCTGACGAAACGTCATCATATGTCGTCACCAAGTTTGGCAATTAACTGTCTGCCTGCCTTTAATGACACATTCTCAGTCGCACCAATTAATAAACAAACTCCATGTAGCAAAAGTCCTTCTTCAGAACTTTTCAGTACTCTCCGCTGGTCAAGATTTTATACAACTTCAGTGTTCATTACCGTGTTCACAACAGAGCACTATCGATTCCTGTCCTAAGCCAGATTAATCCAATTACTCTGAAATATATTTTAGTATTATCCTCCCATTTATGCTTAGGTTTTCCAAGTAGACCTTCACTTCACGTTTTCAAATTAAAAGTTTGTATGCATTTGCTCATCACTCTCATTCGTGCTGCATGCCTAGCCAATCTATATTACATTATTTGATGTCATATTCGTATTACTAATTTGTACGGTAAAGGGTACGAACTATGGACCTCCCCATTACGCAGTTTCAATCAGCGTCAGCAGGAGAGCGCAAGGAAGCGACTTCGACGTCGCGCGGGAAGTGACGGCGCACGCGTTCAGTGGCGTGACGTCACTTGCCCGGGTAACGTCGTCTCAAAACGTCGGTTGCGTCGGTATCAGCAGCAAGAAGTAGGCCGCTTCGCTAATTAGCGCTATTAATTAAAGTTGCCGCTGAGAAACAAAAGACGTGTTACGTTCCGGGAGCCCCAGTTACAAAAAGCCTCCTCCCCTCCATCGATTTAATGACGCAGGAGTTATTAAACGTCGAATGTGATGTTAGGATTGATCATCACGTTTTATAACGGCGCTTCTACAACTGATCACGTTTTCCATCGTCGAGTGAGACAGGAAGATGACAACGAAAGATGAACAGCGAAGGATATGTAAGGAGGCGGCTGTGTGGCCCGTCTTAAGATAACGTCCACAGTAAAGAGTCTGCAATAACGGAGAAAGACGTGGACGGAGCTCCAGCGAAATCTGACGTCGTGCATTTTGCAGGAAAAAATTCAACCGACGCGAATTTTTTAAAAAAAAAGTAGAAAATGATCCCAGGGAGTTGCTTAGGAAACTGAAATCTGTGCAGTAGACAAATCAGACACAGGGCCGGAATCTGCCTCTTGGTTCAAGTGTCAGATCAAGACCTGGCAACTTATTCCGAATTTTGTGCATTGATCCCATCGGCAGGGCTGTCCAAAGAATACACGGCAAGAGATTACAGTTCCCGTACGCAGAAAACGCAGTTTCGAATCCCGATGAAGGCATTACCCGCATTTACCTCTGCTGATGTTGACCTCGCAGTGACCACAGGGGTCACGCACTGAGGTCAAAGAGGCGATTCCTTAAAAATATTTACTTTTACTTTAAAAGAAACGATTTCAGAACGTGCGCCCCTTGCTGTGACGTAGCCTTTCGGGCCGACTGACCATCAGTCGCGCGAGCAGGCCAATCGAAAAGGCTGATTTATTTTACAAAAGCCGCGTTCTTTAATGGGTTCTGAAGACATTACAGCGGCGAATATGTGGATTGTGGTTTGTGAATCTTGTATGCGGGGCATCAACGTTTCGGCGCCACAAACCAGAAGTCCGGGGTCAACATTCTTTCAACTTCTTAGCAGAATTAA